CCCCAAAACCCCAAAACCCCAAAACCCCATTAAGATTAAATTAGGTGGATTATGGAAAAATTAAGATTAAAATAACATTATAAAAGATCATTAACAGTTGAAGTAATTTTGATGAGCATGCTGGATTTTCTTAGCTTGATCATGTTGATTAATATGATAATTGCCTCTAAAATAAAATATTAAGAATGATTGAATATTACTTTAGCTTTTGCAAGGTTTTTGCTCTTCTATTTTCAACCTGAGGAGATCCGAGAGTCTCTCCTTAGAATTCGCTCTTAAAATGCTTTTAACTGACATCAGATCTTATACCTTCATTTTTATCAAGTATATCATTATTTAGGGAAGCTACCTCTGGTGATTTAACACTTTCTAGTTTTATTTTAAGCTAAGTGAGTTTTTCATTGAAAGATTCCTTCTCTTTTTTGAAGCTGTTCAAGATTTCATTGATGTTTTTACGTTTATTATTAGTCATTTCAATGCTGGACTTGCTAGGATTACTTTGCAAAGATTCTATAGGCTTTCCTGGAGTATATGTTAGCTGCTCCAACCTTTTCTAATTTAATGGTCTACTCTCTAAACTGAAGTTAGTCTATGGAGATAAGACATGATTAAGTGATCTCGTTTATATTATGTGAGGCTGCTATGGCTATTAGTTCTATTACTATTACAGAGTACGATGGTTCATCATGCTTGAATATACTTTTGGAACATTTTATTATGATACAGAATTCGTGCTTTATAAATAGGAGTGGACCGTGTTGCTAGTTGATTAGAAGTCCTTTGGTGTAGATTGAAATTGAGAGTTCAATTTTGATGATTGATTTTCTGGTTATAACTTTTCATAACCTGGTCCTTAAGTTCTAATATCTGGTATTGAAGCTTACAACGAGAATTTGTTGAGTATTTGTTGTGTTTGAATATTTTCTCTATCTTGAGTTTTAATGGTATCATTTCTGGTAGCGTTCAAATCATTAAAAGTATCAAAGTTTCTTACTTAGTTGCTGCTTGTATTGCTATTATATTGCTCATTATAATTAGTTTTATTTGATTTCTTACTCGAACTATGAGTGCATGGCTGGAGAGTTATAAATTTAGATGGAGTTCTTGAGTGTTTGTCGTTAATATTATTGTTTGATATGTCATTTATCGGAGTTTCATAAACTTTTGATGTATCATTTATAAAGCCTCCTCCACAAGAAAGTTTACTCATATCATTGAGATTAGGTTGATATCTAGAATCATATGAGCTTAAGACTGTTCCATGAATAGGACTTACATCTCTTATTTTTGAGAAAGTTTATTAATGGAGAGGTCCACTTATCTATCTTGAGTGATTTGTAGATATTGATGCTTAGTGACTCATCAATGTTGAACATTGCTTCTAATTGAAATTAACTTATTGCTTTATATTCATTAAAGCATCGCATGCCAACTTTACTGCTTCATCCAAGGTAATGGTATCGTATTAATTGGCTGCTAAAGATGCAGATCTCTTGTGAAAATCTTGAATATAACCTTCATTTTATAATGTCATGAGCAATTTGTTCTTCATAAGCTTAATTTTTGTTTCCCAAGATAACTTAACTTATTCCAAGTCTTCTTCAAGTTTCATTTTCTCTTCGCTGTTTGCTTGTCTCTCTTGAGCTATTAAGTCTCTTAATTCCTCATTTAATTTGGCAATTTTTTTGGCTTTATCAGCTTAAACCTCAACTTCATTTGTATAGTGCTCTACCTATTTCTCTGCACTTACGAGTTCATTGTTTATTTTTTAAAATTTCAGCTTTATTTAAGATAATTCTTTTACCAAATTATCTCTTTCATCCTGGACGCTAAGATTTTACTCATTAAGATTTAGAAGTTTAATTTCATTTTAATCGAAAACTATTCTAGTTTTCTCATAGTCCATCTTAAGCTAATTATACTCTAACTGTAGTAATGTTTTTTCCTTGTCAATATTTTCAAATTTCTCCTCTTGCTCATACAATTTATCCAAAGCTTTGTTCAAGTTTTAAGAGATTTCAATGAATTAAGGATTGTTTTGGATATTTGCGACATACTCTCTCATTCCTTGATTCTATATATGACTACTTTAGAAATAGCTTTGGCTTCCTGACATTACACCATAAGATCTATCAAGGGATTTAATTTGATTATGCTTTCTAGTAATATTAATTGAAGAATCCATTTCACCATCCTGCATTCTAGGAGATCTTCCTCCTGATTTCTATCTTGATTTTTTTGATTTTCTATTTTCTCTTAGTTTTGCAATTATTTTATCCTACTCTTATATTTTAAGTTTAAGTTCAATAACTTATTATTCAAATTAGACGATGTTTTCTTAGTTTTTAAGATTACTTAAGCTAGAACCATTTTGTGTTTGATTGATCTTAGTAGACTTATCATTTTGTTTTTTTATTAGTTTTAATAATTATACTCCAGCACCATCTAACGCTTGCAACTCAGATAATTCTCTATGAACTTCAAAATATTTTGCTAAAGTCACTTGATTCAATCTTCTCAATTCTTCAAGTACTCTATTATCTTCATTGTCTGGCTACTCATTACTAAAAACTGAATCTAGTTGTATGAAGGTTTCCTCTAGTTTTTAATTTTTGTGCTCAAAAGTCTTGAATTTGACAAATAAATCATAGAACTTTATTACTGAATCTTCTAAGAGATTAAATAAATCTTTGAAGCTACGATTCTTCTGTTCAACTAACTCACTTTATGAAGAATGCACTTAGGAAAAGAAATCTCTATAGATATTGTGAAGAGGATTTAAATTTATAACAGAAGTAAATTTGCTATCATATTTAATGGCAGTTGGTATTCCTGTATTAGAGTTTGGAATACTTTATTCATGAAGCTTAGTAGGTGATATAATGTTTGGCATTGGATTTATATTGCCTGAGAGTAACTTATTTTCTACAAATTTCTTGATTTCAATCAACTATTCTTCACAGTTGTTATTAATTTGATTGTAAGCTTTTCTCTGAGAAGGGATTTGAAAAAAGATATCCTAAATAATCTCCATCATTTTTTGAAAATTTGGATCAAGAATATTATCTGAATCTTTCATTGCATTCGCTAAAGGATCATATTCTTTCAGAGACTTATTTTACTACTTGAGATGAGCATTTTCTCTAACAATGTTTTCAATCATTTTTAATTAAGCTGATGCCATCCTACTCAAGTCTGTATTTTCGAGCTTATTCTTTTTACTTTCAAGTTCATTTGTGAGGTTTTCAATAAGCTAATTGCTCTCTTATATTTCCTATTCAAGATTTTAAACTCGATTAAGATAGCTATCTCTCTCAACATTAAGTACTTCAAGAGTGTTTTCAAATTATTTAATATACTAAGCTTGTCTTTCAATAACTTCGTTTTAGTTTTTTATAGTCATTTATGCCTCTTCAAAAGCCTTTAGCTTACCTTAATCCATCTCGGTACTTCCACCATTATTATTACTTTAGTTTAATTTATGATTTTGTTCGCTTCTTCTTGCATAAAAATTCTTCTCCTTAGTTAGAATATCAATAATGTGATCTTTTTCTCTAACAATTTCTCTCATCTAATTCATTTCCTCCTCAAATTGGTTACCCAGTTATGTTGATATCGTTGCAACTTCAAGTTCATCATCAGCAAGTTGATTTTTATAAAAGCTTCTCAAATTACCTTATCTCTTTAGATAATCTAACTAGCATAATAGTGCCTCAGCAACTTCTTTAAATGTCTAAAAGGGAAAATATATCAACTTTTGCTTATAAGTGTTATTACCTTTGTATGTTTTGATAGTTTTATGACATTTTATGATGAACCTACCATTTAATCTTGCATTTATAGTGCTTTAACCAGTATCTAAGTAAATTTACAATATTATTAGGTTATTTACCTGTTCAAACTAAATGGTATTGGAAAAATTCTATTAGTGCACAAGTTACTTAACTTTTTGAGCTCCCTTTGAGGAATTCAGTTTGTTTGACATCTTTGACAAAAATATAAACTTATTTTTAACAACTACTTTCACATTTAAAACTTGAGGATTCTGGGGTTTTGGGGTTTTGGGGTTTTGGGG